TAAATCATGGTGCATGGCAATGCTGGAATCGTTACAATGAAGATTTTTCTGGTCCACCTCATTTCATTAATAATGCTCAAGCTTTGTACACCACATATCTTACAGACACTAATCAGAATTGGCATCTAGACTCTGGTGCAACGACTCATGTGACTTCGGATTTATCAAGGCTCCATAATCCCTTACCATACCATGGCCCAAACTCTGTTTCTACTGCTGGAGGGCAGTCTCTACCTATATCGTATGTTGGCTCAGGGAAAGTGTCCACACCCGCAGGTACTTTCACCATCTCTAACCTTTTCCATTTCCCTGACTTAAAAACCCACCTTTTATCAGTTCACCAATTCACCACTGAAAATAATTGTTCCCTTCTTTTTACTTCTAAGGAATTTATGATCTTGGACAATCATACCAACCAAGTGATATACAAAGGCCCATGTGAGCGGGGTTTATACACCTTACCAGCTCAGTTTGTTCGTTCATCGTCCACTCCTACTGCGGCTCCACTGGTGATCAACGCCTTGAAGACGACGTCTCATCAGTGGCACTGTAGGCTTGGTCATCCCTCTTTCCAAGTTACCAAGTTGTTGTTTTCTAAGTTAGGTGTCTCTTTTGAGTCGAATAATTTCTTTTGTGACTCTTGTTCTATGTCCAAGTCTCATAAACTCCCTTTTTCATTTTCTGCTACTGTTACTACTGCACCTTTTCAATTAGTACATTCTGATGTTTGGGGTCCTACTTCAGTTCCCTCATTTGGTGGCTATCACTTTTATATTAATTTTGTGGATGATTATACAAAATTTTGTTGGTTGTATCCCCTTAAACATAAATCTGGTGCGTTTAGTGCATTTCAAAGTTTTCATTCTATGATCCAAAATCAGTTTCAAACAGAAATTAAAATTTTCCGAACTGATAATGGGCGAGAATATGTGAATCGTCAGTTTGGTCTGTTTTTACAACGATTGGGGGTTCTCCACCAAAAATCCTGTCCATATACTCCTGAACAAAATGGGGTTGCTGAGCGTAAACATCGTCATCTTGTTGAAACCGTTGTAACTCTACTTTATACCTCTTCTCTTCCTGCCAATTTCTGGGTTGAAGCCTTAGCCACCGCTAATTATCTCATCAACCGAATGCCTAAACGTTCCCTACATCATAAATCTCCATTTGAAGTTC